GTATATTGATATTTTACTTCAACCATCTGTAAAAGAAATGAAATCTTACCTAAAGGATTCCATGCCCCTTCTCCTATTCTTAAATGATTTTATCTGGCATCCAAATTATATTCTGGTGACTTGTGATGTACAGTCGCTCTATACTATTATACCACATCAAAAGGGATGTGAAGCAGTCACCAGAATATGAAGAGAAGAGAATAAGATTTCAAAATCCCAAATTTATTATAGAGGGTATTATGATTATTTTAACTAATATTTTCTTCTGGTTTTTAGATTTTTTTTACCTTCAGAAAAGAGGTACGACAATGGAGACTAGCTTTGCCCCCAGCTATGCTAACTTATTTATGGCTGACTGGGAAGCAGACGCTGTATGGGGCGATCATAGCTGGCGGGCAAACCTGGTCTCCTATATTGATGATTTATTTTTTATCTGGAATGGGCCAGAAAGTTCTCTTAGCTTTTTTTTTAGAACATGCAAATCATAATGATAGGGGCATTATTCTAACTACTGAATTTAGCAGAGAGGAAATCAATTTTTTAGATCTTAATATTTTTATCAAAGAAGGCAAGATAAACACCAAAACCTTTTTTAAGAAAGTGTGTACAAATACTGTGATTGACCAAAAAAGCTGTCATTATACCCTGTGGCTTGAAAGTCCTCCAAAAAGCCATTTTTTTAAGACTAAAAAGAAATTGCTCTATACCAGAAGATTTTAATACACAAATGACCATTTTAAAAAATAAGTTTTTAGAAAAAAAATTACCCGGGAAATAAATTAAACTCTATAATTACGAAAGAAGAGCTCAATGATAAAAATAGTCTCCTTAAATATAAAGAAAAAAGTAAAAATAAGACCGTTCCATCAATCCCAATTATATTTGATTATAATAATAAAAATGGAGACATCAAAACAATTATTCAAAAACATTGGCACATTCTACTTCAAGATAATGTTTTGAAGGATATCATCCCCACAAAACCAAATATTATCTTTAGAGGTGCCCCTAATTTTAAAAGCCTTCTCACTAAAAACTATACAAAAATAAAACAATCAAATCCTCTACCTTATCCAATGCTAAAGGCTTTTTTTAAATGTAGAAAATGTATCATATGTAGAACTACACAAGATTTGGTTCCAAAGAAACCACTCATTTTAAATCCAATATCACCAATAAAACATATAATATAAAGCACTTTATCACGTGCAACACAAAAAATGTAGTCTACCTATTGGAGTGCCTTTGTGGCCTCCAATACGTAGGCATGACATCCAGATGTTTAAAAATTAGGATATCCGAACATTGCAGAAATATCATGAATGGTTATGAAAGTCATACAGTTTCCAAACATTTTCTGACACACCACCAAAAAAATTCTTGCGATCTAAAATTTACAGCCGTTCAAACATGCACAACCCCAAAAACTTGTTTTCTTGACACTATAGGGTCTTTAGGTCCCCCCCACCCTCACGGTCCCACTCCCGCTGGGCTGAAGGGGTTAAACACTTACCTTTCTCGAGCGCCGGGCTCCCTCGGCGCTGGGGAAATCTTCTCCCTCTTCTGACGTCAGTGCTGAATACGCATGCGCGGCAAGAGCTGCGCGCGCATTCAATCAGTACATAGGAAAGCATTTCTCAATGCTTTCCTATGGACGTCCAGCGTCTTCTCACTGTGATTTTCACAGTGAAAAGCGCAGAAGCACCTCTAGCGGCTGTCAATGAGACAGCCACGAGAGGCTGGATTAACACTATTGTAAACATAGCAGTGTCTCTGAAACTGCTATGTTTACAGCTGCAGGGTTAAAACTAGAGGGACCTGGCACCCAGACCACTTCATTGAGCTGAAGTGGTCTGGGTGCCTATAGTGGACCTTTAAACTAATAACAATTTAAAAAAAAAATCCCTGCTAGTGGAACACTCATGAGTTCTCAATTGAAGATAAAAACACACACACACATCAATAAATATTGGACAAAAATATCAAGAAATAAAAACAAATAAAAAGAGAACCAACCAAAATATGTTAAAACAATAAATAAACAAAAAATAAATCATTGAGGTGTCTCACCACATCTATACCTCATCTCTACAAAACAGCTGTGTGCCTCTGCCCTGTCTAACCCCTTAACCCCAAGCCTGCTTACCTGTACCAGCCTGAGTTGTTTTCCTCCTTCCAGTTGGGAGGATCTGCAGTGCCAGGCTCCTTATTCTCACCCTCCATCCATGCTGTGAGTGCTCCATGTGAGAGGGGAGCAGAGGGTGTGATGTTACTTCCTGCCCCCTCCCATCCTTACATGGAGCACTGTGCACTAGCTGCAGGGAGAGAGAGAGGAGACCTGGCAGTGAGAGTAAGGTATGCTGCCAGGTCTCATGCTGAATGGGGGAATGGGATTGCAGGGTGACAGGTTGCAGGGGCCCCCTATATCATCATGGGCCCCTGCAACCTTCCTTCTGACTGTGGAGATCTCTCTGATCTCCACAGCAGAAGCATAGCTGTGCTGTTGGGCCCCCTGACTGACTCGGGCCCTCGGTCCATGACCGATCTGCCCGACCTGTCAGTCCGCCCCTGTATGTAAATATATATGTTATAAAATATACATTTCCTAAAAAGTTAGCTTAGCACATATAAGTTTTTAAAAATTATTATTATTGGTATTTATAAAGCGCCAGGTTATTCCGCAGTGCTTTACAATAAAAGGGGAATTTACCAAATGAGACAATAACAAAATTTAACAGGAACAATAGGTAGTTGAGGACCCTGCTCAAACGAGCTTAGTGGAGTGTGGCCCTATAGGAGAGTGCGAGAGGAAGGTTTGAGAGATAGAAGTTACTTTTGGAGGCCATAAGCATTCTCGAAAAGATGGGTTTTGAGGGACTTCTTAAAGGATTGAAGACTAAGGGAGAGTCTGACAGGGGTAGGCAGGCTGTTTTAAAGGAAAGGAGCCGCCTGTGAGAAGTCTTGCAGGCGTGAATTTGCAGTAAGGGTGCCAGCAGCAGAAAGGAGAATGGCACCAGTAGAGCGGAGAGACCAAGAGGGACATACCTATGAATCAGTGAAGAAATATAAGAGGGGCTAGAGTTTGTTAGAGCTTTGTAGGTAAGGGTTAGTATTTTAAATTGACACCTGTAGGGGACAGGAAGCCAGTGTAAGGATTGACAGAGGGGTGAGGTGTGAGAGAAGCGACAGGAGAGAAAGATAGGATTGGGGTGGTATAGTCCAAGTGAGGTTGAGATAGAGGTGAGAAGAGGGGAGAATGCATTCCTTAAGTGTTTAAGCTTGTCAGTAAAGTAACATGCAAAGCTATCAGCTGAAAGATTAGTTTGTGGGTTTGGCCACAGCAGGGCGAAGAAGAGAGTTAAAGTATTAAAGAGATGCCTAGGATTGCGAGAGCATGAACTAATAAGATAAGAAAAGTAGGTTTAGCAAGGGTGAGGGCTGCACTGTATGAGCGCAAGACAAATTTATAGTGTAGAAAGTCTGACAGGGTGCGAGACTTCCTCCAGCAGCATTCTGCTGAATGGGAGCATCTCTGCAGGTAGCAGCTTGACTTAGTGTGCCACAGTTTGATGTGCACCCTCCTTGAGGAACATGCTTGGAGCGGGGCTGCAGCGTTTAGGGCAGAGGTGAGGGTAGCATTATGTGAGGAGATAGCCAGAGAGGGACAGGAGAAGGTAGGGATGGATGAGAGTTTGGAATGGAGATCAGCTGAGAGTTGCTGGAGGTCAAGAGAATTCAGATTCCTCCTGTGTTGCAGGGGGTTAGGTTGAGGGTAATGGGTGTGGTGGCACTTGAGAACAAATGATAGGAGGTGGTGGTCTGATAGAGGAAATTGAGTATTACAGAGATTGGATACTGAGCATGCATTTGAAAAAATAAGATCTTGGGTATGGCCAGCTACATCTGTGGGAGAGTTAGCCCATTGTGAAAGCCCAAAAGAGGAGGTGATTGAAATAAGTTTTGAGGCTACTGAGGAAAAGGGTGGGTTAATGGGAATGTTGAAATCCCCTAGAATTAGGATAAGGCTTTACAATATCTGTGTAACCTATATTTAAGGCTCATATCTCGAAGATTAATAGCACGTTAATTTAAAAAATGCTATTATGCTCTAAAGTCCAATTGTGATCATTTGTCTGGTTGGGCAGTAATAATATTTTTAATGTTGCTCCATTTATGAGTAAGCCTTAAAATGTAATGTACTAATTATATTAAATTTCTTAGATTACCTTTTATGGGTAATTAAGAACACTGGTATAGTTTTATTGAAATATAATAAAACAGACAGAACTGCTCTTTAATTAATCAAAATCAATTGATTTTTGAAAATTATTATACACCTGTTCTAACCAATATAAGAAGGGACGAAGAGGAGCTTGATTAAGAATTTATAGAGCCTCATGCAAGGTACTAAATAATAATTTCTTTGCAAACGCAAAATATATAAACTTACCCCTGAGGATGGTATAATAAACAGCAGTAAAGATAAAAAACTAAAAACAGGACTTGACTCTCAAGATGACCAGAGGTGTTTACTAGCAGCTTCTGCCAATTTGATATATAAAATTGCTTAACCTACCTTAGTTTGAAGTATAGATGGTCCAGAGTATGCTGCAGACTGCCATCCTACTGAAGAGTTCCTTCATAGGTTAGAAAAGCATTGCTCTGGAGAAGTAAATTTGATGTCTGGCCCTGCAGCTTAATGAGCCAAAGGGCTCTTTGGCGGGGAGAGGCAGCCGATTTACTACATGGTGCTGTGCAGCTCAAAGCAATAGATCTGTTGCTCTGTGAACCCCTCCCCCTTTGGACCAGTGGAGCATATCCCGGTCCCCACTGGAGAAGCTTACTGTTTGTGGAAACTGACCTGACATACCACTCCTGAGACAGCATGGCCAAGATGGGTGCCGAGCCAAAGCCTTCATCTCATCCTCCCCTAGCACTGAGAGCCTGAATTGGGTGCTAGGATCTGCCATCCTCTTCTATGCCATGGTACAGTGTGTAAAGGAATCTGGAAAGAGTTGCTCTCCAGTTGTACTTATTGTTTAGGGTTGTTGGGTATAGACCACTCGTATATTCTAATCATAATTATAGCTTTGTGATATGACTCAATATTAGGATTCTTGAATAAAGGTTATGTCTGCTTTTAATTTATGTAATTCTTGGAGTGTCAATGAGTGTTTTTCTGGTGTGTTGAGGCCACGGACATTAAGGGTGACTATGTGAATTGTAGCCATAGGGACTGGTGGTCTGGTCTAGGTCTTGTGTTGCTTCCCCCCTGTGTCGAGATTTGAAAGTGGGGAAAAACATAACTATATGCATATTTAAAACAAGAGTATAATCAAATATAAACTGAAGCTTGGAGAGGAGTGAGGAACGTCTCCAAGTTTGGTATTTTTAGCCATGGCTTTTTGGGCCCAGTACCGCTAGGGCACTGTCGCCCTGCCAGAAGCCTGGTAGGCTGCTGTAACAGGGCATCTAGGAAAATATGTTCCTTTTTCCTGAGGGATAGGGATGCGGAGTCAAATCTCAATATCAAGGTCTTGGTTGGCAAGCAGCAATCCTTTATATGCTGTTCCAACGATAGGTGGGGCTGTTAGGTGCGTCCGATATCCCCCTGTTAGGAATAGTATTCTGGCTGTTTGGGGGGTCTGGGTATAGTTCGGGACAGAGTGGATGTATTGGGCCAACTAACCTAGGAGCGCACAGTGGCACCCGACAACATTGGGGTATTGGGACAAGCATGGTTCCCAGTTCCTAGCACCCAACGGCCTGTCACTGGGTTATATTGGCTGCTTTTTTATTTTTTATTTTTTTTTATTCTTTATGTTCAGTTAAGCATGTAGGGTCAACTCCACTCCAACCCCGACATGGACAATATACATTTCCCACATGACTGTAAATGGCATACGGTGTTTAAAATAATGTAATACAATGTAATATCCACACATATTTACCTACCCCCAATGCATGACTTGTGCTTCTGAGAGTACCGGAGTGGAAGTCTGAGGTAGCAGGAGAGGAGTGGAGAGGCTGAGTGAGGGGATGAGAAGGGTAAAGAGGAAATAGTTGCTGATTACCATAGCGAGAGGGTAGGTGAAACATGCCCTTAGCGCTCCAATCCAATTCACATGCAGGGGGTATAGGAGGGGGTGGTATGGGTGAGGGAATAGAGAAGGGGAACAGAAAGATATATGTTTTCATGTATACATTAGATTCAATCATACGTTACTCCGGGATGTACAGGTGATTGCCTGTGGGAGGACTTGGACGGAGAGACTCTCTGGAGCATAGAAGTGCGGTTCCTGTGCTTGGATTGTGGGAACCGCGAGGGAGCATGGTACAGAGACATGCTCCTCCCTCCTCCTTCGTCACTCCTCAGCATCAGTGACAGGAGTGCCGCTGGACCGGTGAGGCTGCCACCCGGCCCGGCGGCTCCAGCATGGAATGCGGCCGCCAGCCCACCGGCCCCCTCAGAGTGTGTGCCACCAGACTGGCCACCCGGTGGCACATACATGATCAGCGCAGCCCCCAGATGCCGCGGCCCACCGGGAAATTACCCGGTATCCCAGTGGGCCAGCCAGCCCTGATTCTGTATGTCATTTCCTGCTTTCTACTTGTGGTTGCAAAACGAAATAAACCTGCAGGAGCTCTGATATAGTCAGGAGATAAATAACTGGTGGCAGCCAGTGTATTTAGGATTTGTGCTGTCTTGGCATGACTAAATTCAGGCACCTTCCCTAATCTAAATTTGCCCCACTTCATGTAAAGGCCACTTTTTTGACTGTCAGACTCACGCCCTCACTGATACATGCACTGACATACACTCACTAACAGATAAAGTCACACACGGTTTAGCCAACATATACTTTCACTGACAGACACACACTGACATACCCACTCACTGACAGGCGCACCTTCTCAGATACACATACACTGATATACACTCACCGATTTGACACACTCTGACAGACACACACACATTCATTGACAGACACACAAACACACACACACTCTGACAGACACACACACTCTGACAGACACACACACATTCACTGACAGACACACAAACACACACACTCACTGACAGACATACACACACACATTTTATCATACATTCACTCATGTGGGATTCTGTCCCTGGCGTCCATTGTGGCTGGGTATGCAGGCAGGCGGTCAATGAAGGTGGCGAGGGAACTGAGCTTTTCCTGCTCTGCTCCATTGCGCACCGCTTGGTGATACCAGGGCTAATGTATTTTGGCTCCTGGCATCACAGAAGGGTTCCTGAGGGTGCAGAGCGCGCTAAGGACAGAGCTCCCTCGTCTCCCGGCTAGAATATTTGCAGTTGAATGCCTCAGGAGGCCCTTAGGTTGCCAGACTGCCAGCTCTTGGGCCCCCCAGTATGCAAGGGAAACAAGGCATTTGCCAGGGGGCTAAGCGCTGTGTTTTTTGCAGCCCCCCTGAAAGTTTCCAAACCTTGTTTCAAATGCCTTGTTTGCCTTGCGGTAAATACAGCCCTGGTGGCAGCACAGACAGCACTGGAAATATTCTCTAAATCAGCTATGCTTTCATTTTGGTTATTCTCACCCTAAAATTCAAATTCACTTTGAATTCTCACTTTAGTAGATAACCCTGTAAGTTTACTATTTCATGGATTTTCATAGATTTTCCTTTCCCTCTCTAAATAGTAGTGAATTTCCTTCTTTTGTTCAGCCAGCATAACAGACTGCCCGCCAGCTGCATCCTGAAACAAGCTCCAGACAAGTGTGAGTGAAATATATTTTTTCCTTATATTCTGCTTCTGCTGTTATAGACATACTACACTATATTAGTATTCCTGTCCTATTTTGTTTTCTCCCTTATATTGTCTCCATTGGACTCCACACAAGAACTTTAATTGTTAAGCGCTGCTTCCCTACATCCCCCGTTGTACACTCAGTTACAGGCAGACAGTCACACACACACACACACAGTTACAGGTAGACAGTCACACAGTCACACACACTCAGTTACAGGCAGACAGTCACACACACTCAGTAATAGGCAGACACTCACGCACACAGGCACAGGCAGACAGGCACACACACTCAGTAACAGGCAGACAGTCACACACAGTTACAGTCACACACAGGCAGACAGTCACACACACACACACAGACAGGCACACAGACAATTACCTCTTTCCATTATGGCCGGAAGGGGGTAGTGGAGGCAGTGCAGCTCCTGTAGTCAAGTTGTTGGGAGAGCAGGGACTCCTTCATGCCTCCCACTTCCTGTGCAGCAGTTACAAGGGGCTTCTGCCTCCCGATAAGCTCTGCCCAATCGCTCAGTAAGCCCCGCCCTTACACCTGGGTACCGTCTTTAGCTCCCCCTGCACACCTTGCTATGTGTGAACTATGTTGGCTGCATGGTGCCCCCTGCTCCATGGCACCCTGTGCGGCCGCACAGCTCACTGTGGCCGGCCCTGAAAATGGTCTGAGGAATGGCACGAGGGAATTTCTGACATCATATCCACTATAATGCTCTGTAGCGGTTATAGTGCCTAGGCTTACCTTTTAATTTCAGGTTTGGGAAGCTGATTTTATTTGCTGCTTTTCTTAAAGTAGCACTAAAGACTTTGCAGTGGCAAAGTGTTGTTTTGTAGAAACTTCAATGTTTACATTTCGGGGTTAAACACACATTTAGAGCTTGTCTTCCACACAACCCCTAGGGGTGCTTCCACAACAACAACCAAATTCACTCAGACATGTGACCAAAAGCATTTAATTGAATATGTGCATGGTGCTTGCCGCGAATGTGGAACTCATCAGGAAAGATCCTCTGTGAGTAACATTGGATTGGAGAAGAAGCCAAGAAAATTACGCCTCCACAATGACATTGGAGGAGGTGGAGTCGGCAGCAGCACCGAGGAAGTCTCAGCACTGGAAAAAAAATAAGTTAAACCTTTTTTTCTTTATTTTTTGCAGGTGAAAAGGGAGGTTGGGCTAAATCCAAACATGCAGTAGGACTTTAGCATTTAGCATACAGGTTTGCATTACCCTAACGCTTAGTGTTCCTTTAATTTGTTTTATTTACATTTGCGTCGATTCTGTCAGCACGGAAATGCACTCGTGTATCCATGTTATTAATGCAGTCAGAATATTTATCAATCATGGTTTTGAGTTTCAGAAAGTGTAAAAGTTTGTATTGTTAAGTATGTATTTGCAAGTTCATCAAGTTACAATATTTTATAGCAGCCTATTTTCTAGTATTTATTCTCCACCTATACACTTTCTTCCTTGTCACTTTTTAGAAATAATCTTCTATTAAATGATTGCACTTGAAACTAGCTCACATTTTTCATAAAATATTTGTATTTAATATGTCTGGAAATAGAAGGATCGTCTTTTTATGTAGAAAGGTTTTATGATTGAGTATTTTTCTAGCAAAGTAAAGAAGTGCACAGTACATGGCAATCGTTCTTTACAAAGTCACCTAGATAAAGTTGTAATATGTATGAGTTTATGAATTTTGAAAATTCTTACTGATATTTGTATGTGCATACATATATGGATAGAGACACACACACACACACATAAATGATTACAGGCTAGATGATGCAATCACTTTATGTGGATATATGGGAAAACTGCAGGAAGTGTAGGGTTTTCTTGCCTCAGTGTTATCAGAGTTTAGAGCAGTGGTAGTCAACCTTTTTCCACTTACCGCCCACTAATGCATCTTTCTTGATGGAAAAATTTCCTTACCGCCCACCAGTTTTCGCGCAAGCGCAGAATATTTTTTAGAAAGGAGGGTGTTTTAAAAAAAAATAAATAAATGTACGTACCTTTATCTTTTTATTTCTACTTTATGCATGTTTATAATGTTTTTAACTTTATAAAGTTTAATGAGGAAGCAATAAAGTAAATTGAAATTACCTTTACTAGTGATTAATGAGATCCTTGAGGTTGATGCTGCGAGACTAAATATTTGATATCTGGTTCGATTTTCGTAAGGAACAAACGAAGGTCTCCTCTTTCGGTAATATTCAGAAGACTTCTCTGTTTGCTCATAAAATGATTTCTCATCTGTGCGTCAGCTCCCCTCCTCTCCCTCCTCAATTCCCCTCCCCACCTTTTTCTTCTTCCTTTTTTCTATTTTTTAACCTTCATTATAGCAATGCCTAGAAGGAAGGCTGAGCTAGGTAGCCCACTTACTTTTATTAGTCAACAACAATTCTCTCCTTTTCCTTTTCTTTCTTTCTCCTTTTTTACAAGTACTCTACTCCTTCTTTCTCCTATTCTACAAGTACTCTGCACCTTCTTTCTCCTTTTTACAAATACTCTGCTCCTTCTTACTTCTATTCTACAAGTACTCTGCTCACAGACAAACACACACACTCACACATACATTTACAGACACACACACACACTCACAGACAAACACTCACACATACACTTACAGACACACACACACTCACATAGAAACACATACACACAAACATACACATACTCACACATGCACTTACAGACACTCACACATACACAGGCAGACACACATACACTAACAGACACACAGATACAGACACACACATACTTACAGACACAAACACACACACTTACACACACAAACACACACTTACAGACACACACACACATATACTTACAGACACACACACATATACTTACAGACACACACACACATATACTTACAGACACACACAGATATACTTACTGACACACACACATATACTTACAGACACACACACACATATACTTACTGACACACACATACTTACAGACACACACATACACTTACAGACACACACATACACTTACAGACACACACATATACACACAAATTATTAATATTAAATGTCCACCCAGCCTCCCTACCTGGAGAGCTGGTGTGGATCTGTCCCTGGGGTCCAGTGGGGCTTCACTTCGGCGGGCAGCTGTGTGCTAATCA